GGAGGGAGGGGGGAATACATGTAATTAAAGAACACAACTTGAGATATACAAATACAACGGCATACCTTCACATCCACTCTCATCACTTCCATCTGGACAGTCTACGTCCCCGTCACATTTCTCTCTGAGGTTGATACAAGTTCCGTCCGAGCAGTTGAATTGTCCAGAGGTACACTGGACTTGAACTGTGGGAGGAATATAAAAACAAAACAATACAAAACATCTTCATCCTTTCCCATTGAGGCCTCGGCGCCCTAGGCAAAATATTATTATTCTAAAACAATTTTGTTTGTCTCGTTTGGTTTTTTTATGTTATTGATTTTTACGCATCGAGCCCCACAATTTAGATCATGTGATTATATGAATGACTCTTACTGATTATAAAAAAGCGTGACAGTTATAGATTGAAAGTACCAGTAGATACGACTTATTTTTCTTTTTGGAAGCAGGCTGCTTCTGCCGTGCATATCCGTGTCAACCCATCCTGAGTGAGACCAAAGATAGTGTATAACAAGTTAGTTAACTCTTCTCTTTGCGCCAATTCAAAAAGTGTCCTCAAAATTTGGTGGGGCCCTCTTCGAAAACACGCCGGCTTTGCGAACAGAGTTACCCTACTTGTGTGAAAAATGATAAAAGTGAAACTAACAAACTGTGCTATTCCTATTCTTTTTCGGAAGAAATAAAAGAGAGCTTCAATACAAAGACTGGTGCGCCGTCTGACTTCCGGGGACACATTTTTGGGCTGATTAAACAAAATTGTCATGTACAATCTTTGGTGAGACCAAAGATAGTAAATAACAAGATTGTCCACTCAGCCAAAAAAGTGTCCGCAGGAAGTTCACTCTTTATTTCAGAAGGCGCTGCAGTCTGTTTTGAAGCTCTCTTTCGTTTTTTCCAGAAGAAGAATAGGAATAGCACCTCCTTGCGTGCGCAGATCGACTGCTATTCATCAGCAGATCGGGTTCGTTCAGTGTGAAGTTTTAGTTTTAAAAATTTTTAATGACCTCTAGCCTTTCATTCTTAAGTCAAATTAAACGAAGAAAACAATCTCCCTTTCCTCCGGAAGAGGTGTTTTGTCAGTGTAACCATTTTAAAAAAGCGTTCTTCCGAAATTTATTCAAAAACTTGCTAGTTTCACTTTGATTTTTTAAACTCAAGTAGGATAACTCTGTTCGCAAAAGGTGCGCTTTTGCGAAGAGGGCGCCACCAAATTTTGAGGACACTTTTTTAATTAGCTCAAAGAGAGAAGTGGCCCCTCTTGTCATGTAGACTCTTCGGTGAGACACAAAGTCCCAGAAAAACGATTTCATAAAATGGACTTCATCACGGGGAAAAAAATTCAAGTCTTTTGTGCGCGACAGGGAATATCATCTTATTTTTTACACCACAGACGCTGGTTAACAGAAGGTTACTGGAGGAAAGATTGCATTCAAAGTCAAACGTCATTGCATTTTCGGAAACGGAAAATACAAAGTATGAAAACTAAACAAAAGTATAGGTATTCCATTTCGTGGTTTTTGTGTGTTTTTTGTGAGCGCGTGTTTCTTTTTGTGTTTTTAATATATTTTAAAAAATGTTTTTAAAAAAAAATGCACAACAAAACAATCATATCTTACTTTCACATCCACTCTCATCACTTCCATCTGAACAATCCATTTCCCCATCGCATTTCCAGCTGAGGTTGATACATGTTAGATCTGAGCATCTGAATTGTTCAGAGGTACACTGGGGTTCAACTGTACCAGGAATAAGTAGAAAGAATCTTTATTAGCTGATTTATTTTAAGTGAGATTTTTTAAAGTCGTAAAGAAGGTTGGAATGATCTTACCCTTTGTAATAACAATAATGATAATAACAGTAATAATAATAATA